TGGAAAAGTGCGTCTCGGGGGGAGTTCACTCAGGTCCAGCTGCTCCAGGGGACACGGTGTGTTTGGGGGAGGCGGAGGGGACGGTCGGATCAGTTTCCGGCGCTTCGGGTGCCTCTGGAAGTTGTTGGCTCTGTGACTGAGGTGCCGTGTGGTGGATGTTGGGAAACTGGAGGTTTTGGATAAAGTGGGTCTCCAAGTGGCATCCTGAGCGGACCCGAACTTCCCCCCTACAGGACTGGACAGCAGGGGGTCGCTTGGGGTCCCCATTCCAGGAGATGACATTCTGATCACACTGAAAATCACACAAAATAATTATACAAATAATGAAAAAGTAATCTACACTATAACAATGCTGGATTCCACACAATCGATTTGTGTTAAGACAACATGAAAGAATTAGGTTAACTTATTAGTTTTTTTTTTTTTACAAATATTAGTTGATTGAACATAAAACAATTAAGTTGTGCTAAAAAACACTCAAAAATTGTGTTGATTCAGCACATTAAAAAATATTTGGACAAACAGCAAACATATATATTTTTAAAAGTATATCAAAGCATATACTCACTGTCCACTTTATTAGGTACACCTGTCTAACTGCTTGTCAACGCAAATTTCTAATCAGCCAATCACATTGCAGCAACTCAATGCATTTAGGCATGTAGACATGGTCAAGACGATCTGCTGCAGTTCAAACTGAGCATCAGAATAGGGAAGAAAGGTGATTTAAGTGACTTTGAACGTAGCATGGTTGTTGGTGCCAGACGGGCTGGTCTGAGTATTTCAGAAACTGCTGATCTACTGCCATTTTCATGCACAACCATCTCTAGGTTTACAGAGGTCAGAGGAGAATTGGTTCCAGCTAATAGAAAGGCAACAGTAACTCAAAATAACCACTTGTTACAACCGAGGTCTGCAGAAGAGCATCTCTGAACACACAACATGTCCAACCTTGAACTACACCTTGGGCTACAGCAGCAGAAGACCACACCTGGTGCCACTCCTGTCAGCTAAGAACAGGAAGCTGCGGCTACAATTTGCACAGGCTCACCAATATTGAACAGTAGAAGATTGGAGAAACACTGCCTGGTCTGATGAGTCTCCATTTCTGCTGCGACAATATGAACCAAAATCTCTGAGGAATATTTCCAGTACCTTGTTGAATCTATGCCACGAAGGATTAAGGCAGTTCTGAAGGCAAAAAGTACTTCAAGGTCCAACCAGGTCCTACAAGGTATATGTTATACCTAATAAAGTGGCCGGTGAGTGTAGATACTCTTGAAAATTGAGATTAATTAATTTGTTTTGTTGTTAATTTATACTAATAAATCAGGTCGCTGGATCGAGTCCCGGCTGGGCCAGTTGGCATTTCTGTGTAGAGTTTGCATGTTCTCCCCGTGTTGGTGTGGGTTCCCTCCGGGTGCTCCGGTTTCCCCCACAGTCCAAACACGTGCTATCGGTCAGTTGAGTAAGCTAAATTGTCTGTAGTGTATGATTGGGGTCTTGAGCAATGGGCTAACAACCCACCTTATAAAAAACTAGATGTTACAAAACACCAATATAGTGTGTCTAAATATCAACATTGAAATAAATGGCTCTGGGAGTAAGTAAATATAGTTATCATCATGGCGAACTGCATAGTTATCTTTACAAAATAAAAGTCCCAAAGGGTGAAGAAGACAAAAACATGGTTCCCCAAAAAACTTTCCAGTAAGTAGTATTTTTAGAAGAACATCTGGATTTTTTATACTATTAAAAACCCTGGAAATATATTGCACGTTCTTTATACAACCCATCAATGCCAGTAAACAACCTTTATTACACTGAAAAAAATGATTCATTGGATTTACTACATTGTTTTAAGACAAGTGCTTGCAAACAATTTATATGGGCTGAATTTAAATAAACAAATCAAATTCAATAATGTTCAACTTAATTTATTTGTTTAAATTCAGCCCACAGATTACTTGCAACTACTTTCCTTTAAAAGAAATTGAGTAAATCCAGTGAATATTTTTTTCCCACTGTACTGAGTGTGTAGGTCATGGTGACATTGAGATAATAAAGCAAAACAGCACCCTTATACGAAGCAACGGTGCGAAGCATCACAGCGTAGCTTTTATTAATCAAATGATTAGAAAAGTATCGCGATGAAGCGCCATTTCTTCAAGGAGGTCATGATATGACACTTCCCTCGCGCGCGCACACGACGCACTGCAACCAATGCGCAGCTCCGGGATGCGCAATGCACATGTGCTCGGTCTCTCCATAGCTGAGAAAGCAAAACGCACAACTGCAGACTCCTTCCTGCACACATCTCAACAATGCTCCAATTTCACGATTATCCACATGAGGATTTTTCTCCATGAATAAAACGCGCGCACTAGCTTTGATTCACAAACATGTTTAATTATGGATGAATAGGAAGGAGGGTGCTTGGAGAGCCAAACATGTTTTCGGTTTAACCACACAGCTATATGACACTTCAGTGGTGTGATAATCACGTTAAAAGCGCTTGCTTTAAATGTAAATAGAACAGCAGCTCTTTGTGAGGCGTGCGGACGCAAACAGATACTATAACATTACCTTTATCCGGGATGCTCTTCATGCATTACTGGGTTGCAGGCAGCAGACGGGACGGCGCATCGCGTTGACGCTGCTGTTTAACGTTTCATCTTTTTTCGTCCTTTCTGGCGCAGTCATTTCTCAGCTTTTATCGTGCTGCTCCTCCGGTCTCCCCCTGTCCTCGCATCATCTCTCCTCCTCCCGTCCGTCGTGACGTCACGGCATCGCCTCCGCCCGCGCCAATATATCTGCAGCATCAGCATCAGCCGAAAACTGACACCTGTCAAAAACACTCCAAATGACATGTGGACCTTCAAGATGTCCTGCACATCTCACACTGCTTATTTGTCTTTTATTTATTTATTTATTTATTTATTTATTTATTTATTTATTTATTTATTTATTTATTTATTTATTTATCATAGGCTATATTTCTTTCTTAATTTGGATTAATATAATTTTTTTTAAATAAAAAACAAATATATTATAACACAAATTCAATTAAATTCCAGTTTATTTGTATAGTGCTTTTCACAATATCATTTTTATGCAGCTTTACAAATGACGCACGCTATTACATTACAGTTAAACTTTAGGGTGAACAGTGTATATATATTACGGAGAGAAGATTTCTTCAACACATTTCTTAGCATCATAGTTTTAAAAACTCATCTCTAATAACTGATTTATTTTATCTTTACCATGATGACAGTAAATACTATCTGACTATTTTTCAAGACACTTCTATACAGCTTAAAGTGACATTTAAAGGCTTATCTAGGTTAATTAGGTTAACTAGGAAGGTTAGGGTAGTTAGGCAAGTTATTGTATAACGATGGTTTGTTCTGTAGACTATCGAAAAAAATAGCTTAAAGGGGCTAATAATATTGACCTTAAAATGGTGTTTAAAAATTAAAAGAAACTGCTTGTTGGAGTCTATGTGAGCTATAATACCTATTCTATTGAATTATCTGATTACATATGCACCAATGCAGTCATGTGTGTGTGTGTGTGTGTGTGTGTGTGTGTGTGTGTGTGTGTGTGTGTGTGTGTGTGTGTGTGTGTGTGTGTGTGTGTGTGTGTGTGTGTGTGTGTGTGCACTTGTGTTGCATTTAATTTGCATTTATAGACAGACAAACAAATTTGGGATCTGTTTTATTGTAAAATTATTTAATGAAAAAATAAAAATATATATTAAAAGCATTATAGTAACTATTCAAATTATGTACTTCATTACCTATATATAATATCTATTTTTTTATTTTGCTTACTTTGTTTACTAAAATATTTATTGGTTTTGTTTTTTTGCATTTTATTTGAAAATAAATTATATTTATTTAATTTGAGCTTTTAGATTTTAGGTTTTCTATCAAGTGTTTTTTTCAGTCTAATGAAAAAGGATGCTTTTAATTGCCTAATTTTTATCACACGTTATCAATTTGCATCTGTATAATAATTTTTTAGACATTAAACTATTTGGCTATAACCTATAATACATGTTAAAGGCTGTTTTCTCACTGCTTTTCACAACAATTATCAGTCTTAAGCAGCTTTTCAAAAGATGCACATTATTACATTACAGTTAAACTTAGAGAGAGTCAGTGACAGTATATATATATATAGAAAGAGAGAGATAGTTAACCTGCAGTTATACACTATATAGTGTACTTTTCTAAATGGTGGAGTCTATATGTATGCTATCATACCTTTTAAATGTGTGTGTGTGTGTGTGTGTGTGTGTGTGTGTGTGTGTGTGTGTGTGTGTGTGTGTGTGTGTGTGCATTTAATTTAAATGATGTATCATTTGTATATTTTAATACATCTTAATAGAAAAAAAATGTACATGTAACCAATGAACTGGGGAACTATTTATTTAGTCAGGGTCTTTATTTATTTAATGTAATGTCTTGCCTTAAGTCAAAAAGATCTGGTAAACCAACACCATTTTAAAGGCAATAATTAACTATATTCGCATCTTTAAAAAAAATACTTTAGTTTTTTTTCACTTGGTCGGTATTGATTATCAAATGTAAATCATTAGTACAACCTTCAAATGGAGGAAGATGGACTGAAATGACTGACCTTTGATGTAGACTAACCACACCCTAAATAATCGTTTAGAATTTTAAACCTGAATAAAATAAAATTCTAATGTATTTATACCATCCTCTTACTTATAAAACTAATGACTTTACATTGTAAAAACGATTTTAGGAGGGTGATTAAATAACTGATAAGGTTGCATAGATAACGAAACAAGAGTGCTATTGTCATATTTATGTAATAAGCCCCGCCCACAAAGCACATGGTTTGAATTCTTCACCCTGTGATTGGTTCACACGTGTGTCAATCACGTCATGTCTTACACAAGTAGGCGTGTGTATATAACAGCGGCGGTTTTGTTTGTGGTTGTTTAAAGTGTGAAGTACCGTTGAAGGAAACGAGGGCGAATTTCACACCTAAAAGCTAAAATATATATATATAAACACTAAAATGTCGTCCATAAACTTGACCAGCTTAGGAGCCAACCAACTGAAAAACACTACGACGGGAGAGGTAACGTTAATAATTCACCAGAAGTGTTTCTGTGTTTGTGTACTAACGTTATGTCTCTGTATTAACGTTAGTGTTAGTGTAACGTATTTGTTCATATGTAAACTTAAATAGGAAATATTATTTTATATTCAGATAATTTAAATGACAGTTTTTTTTAAGTATTTTCATGAAAACGCCTTTTATTCTGATGTGCCATGTGCCATGGTCCTGTTATGGCTTTGTAAAATAGAGGTAAAGTTGGTTTTATATTCGCACATTCGTTTATTTAGCAGTCTCTATGTTGTTTTCCTTGTTACTTTGAATATTTAATCGGAATTGGCATGCTAATATGACTTCTAAACAACGTTAACACTATCAAATTCTCTGTGAAGCATGTTGTACTTTGATAGTCATTTGCTGTGATTTCTATTTAAAATTAGCAAATAATACATTTCTGAAATTATATTATTGAGGAGAATGTATAAATATCAGAATATAAAACCAACTTTACCTCTATCCTTGTAAACAGACGTTTTTCCTCTTGCTTATTGAGGTAAAGTTGGATTTATTTAAACAATTTCTGACTTTCTCTTTAATAATATAGCTTTAGAAAATGTATATAACATTTATATACTGAGGGTTTATACGGTCACGTAAAACCTGGAAAAGTCTTGGAATTTTGGAGAAAAGTATTTGCTGCTAATTCTAAAAGGTAACATTAGTCCAACATTGTTCACAGTCAATTAAATGGAGCTAATGTTGTTTTGAAGTCATACTTGCATGTGATTTTAGACCGAAATGGTAATAGCACCATGGTAAACAATATAGGAAGCATGTCACAAGTTGCTACTCAACTTTACCTCAATCTCTTGCTTGAGATCTTTCACACCGCACCTGATAAACTGTAAATGATGTTTATTATGTGATTATCGCCCCTGTCCTGGGATCAGTTTGGTCTGTGCTGATGTGATAAAAACACACTTGACACTTCAGATATGAAATAGCTCATTCACTGCTTTAGGTGTCAAATGCAATGAAAACAAATTAAGAGTCTTTACAATGTAAATCATTAGAATGATCAAAATAATAAAAGCTAACTTCAAACTTATGCAATTATGCAAAGATTTGCTGCTTTGGTGTATTTGTAGGTACCTATACCTGTACTGCATTGTCAAATTAAGTAAAAAATGCAATGATTAAGGTTCTCCATTCATTTTTCTTTTGGCTTAGTCCCTTTATTAATCTGGGGTCACCACAGCGGAATGAACCGCCAACTTTTCCAACATATATTTTACGCAGCAGATGCCCTCTAGCTGCAACCCATCACTGGGAAACATCCATACACACTCATACACTAGAGACAATTTAGCTTACCCAATTCTCCTATAGCGCATGTGTTTGGACTAGTTTTTGTGTTTACCAGATGTGGTTTATTCTGCTGTGGCGACCCCAGATTAACAAAGGGACTAAACCGAAAAGAAAATGAATGAATGAATGAATGAATGAATGAATGAATGAATGAATGAATGTGTTCACCAGAATAAAGTGACTAGGTTTGGAACCTGTTTAGAGTGAGTAAATGGTGAAAAACATTTCATTTTTGTGTGAACTATCTTGTTTGGTAAAAAAAAAAATCGAAATAAAGTTTGATTGATCCACAAGCATGCTGCTATTCTATTCATTTACCTATTCATTTTCCTTCAGTTTAGTCTCTTTATTAATCAGTGGTCGCTACAGTGGAATGAACCGCCAACTTATCCAGCTGCAACCCAGTACTAGAAACATTCATATACTCTCATTCACACTCGTACACTAAGGCCAATTTAGTTAACCAATTCACCTATAGCGCATGTGTTTGGACTGTGGGGGAAACTGGAGCACCGGGAGGAAACCCACACCAACAGGGAAAGAACATGCAAACTCCACACAGAAATGCCATCTGACCCAGGTGGGACTCAAACCAGCTACCTTATGGCTGTGACGGGACAGCGCATACCACTGAGCCAACGTGTCACCCCTCTGCTATTCTATACCACTTGAAGCTTGGAGACCCTACATGAAGACAAGATGGACAGTTCTTTATGCAATATTACAGTATATATTATAAAGGATTTATCCATGCAGATTAAAGAAAATAATCTGTTATCCATGCACATTTAAAAAATAATCTGATGCCCTTATAATTATTTAATAAAAATCTTTCAGTCCCTCATTAACAAAATCTCCTTTCTGGTTATTTACTGTTATAAAGGCAGGAAAGTAATCTGTTACTTACATGAAATCTATCAATAGTTATTAATAAAAGCAATTTCAAATGGTCAGAATCAAGTCTGTCCTACATTGGCTCTAAGTTGCAAAGCATTTACAATAGGAAAAACAATTGCAACTTCACTTTAATGCTGTCTATAAATTTTCTTTGACTGTCATATCATATCTGTTCATTTGTTTGTCTGGTTTCTTAGATGGTGGAGATTGGTTCTCTGTGGCGGGAGCAGGCGGTGGTTCTCTTCTTCCTGCGGAGGTTTGGCTGTCAGGTGTGCCGATGGATGGCAGCAGAGGTCAGTAAACTGGAGAAAGACCTGAAAGCACATGGCATCGCTCTGGTTGGTATCGGACCTGAGGAGACCGGAGTGAAGGAGTTCAAGGATGGGGGATTCTTCAAGGGTGGTGAGGATTTGTCTTTAAGCTTGATTTATATTTTAGTATTATGCCTATGGGGTTTGCTTGTTTATTTATGGAGTAACAGCATTTTGGGGGCCTAAAAATCCAAGTCCAAGTTTTTAAAAGTACTAATGTTCAACTTCCTGTATGGTACTTTAAATGCAAAGTTTTGAAAGGTTGTGCACAAGTAAGTTAGTGTTTCTCATTCGTTCATTTTCCTTCGACTAAGTTCCTTTATTCATGAGGGGTCGCCACAGCAGAATGAACCGCCAATTTATCCTGCATATACTTTAAACCGCGGATGCTCTTCCAGTCGCAACCCAGTACTGGGAAATATCCATACACACTCTTTCACTCAATCATTCTACAGCCAATTTAGTTTATTCAATTCACCTATAGCGCATGTGTTTGGACTGTGGGGGAAACCAGAGCACCCGGAGGAAACCCATGCCAACACGCGGAAAACATGCAAACTCCTCACAGAAATGCGCACAGCTGAGACTCGAACCAGTGACATTCTTGCTGTGAAGCGACAGTGCTAACCACTGAGTCACCGTGTCGCCTAGTGTACATCATTTTAATTAAATTATTATTATTTTTTAAACCTTACATTTTTTTTAAAACTCTAATTTCGCTCAAGTTCTATAGTCTCAGACCACAAGAAAATCATTTAAGTCCATTTTGACCACAGAACGATACATATTCGATAAAAAAATTACATCATCTATGTTTAAAGTTTTGGAACTGTGAAAACTTTTGTGAACTGTGTTAAACTCAGAATGTTTTTATAAATCGTTTAAATCGTTAACAATTGTTAGATTACAATTAGAACTTTAGATTTACATTATTTAAGAATTAGAATATAATTTGTAATATAGAAAAAAACATTTAATATTGATGCTATTTCAAAACGGTTGATCAATTAAGAGTGATGTGCAGATTTTCTAAAATGATGAATACTGAAATCACGTTGCATTCAAGATTTTTTTCTCCAAAGAAGGAGATCACTAATTAGAAATAAAAAAAAGCTCTTTTTGGCAACACGGTGGCTCAGTGGTTAGCACTGTCATTCCACAGCAAGAAGGTTGCTAGTTCGAGTCCCGGCTGAGTCAGTTGGCATTTCTGTGCGGAGTTTGTCTGTTTTCCCATTGTTGGCGTGGGTTTCCTCCAGGTGCTCCGGTTTCCCCCACAGTCCAAACACATCCACTATAGGTGAATTGAATGACCTTTTTTTTAGTGCATGTAAGTAAATGAGTGTATATGAGTGTTTCCCAGTACTGGGTTGCAGCTGGAAGGGCATCCACTGTGAAAAGCGTATGCTGGATAAGGTGGCGGTTCATTCTGCTGTGGCATTACCTCAAGAATATGGGACTCATGAATGAATGAATAAATATAATAGTAGATATTATAAATACATTTGACCACCCCTATTATGAATCATACCATTGTGAATGCATAATCGCACTAATCAGTCTATGCGAGAGATAATTCATTCACAAGTTTGAAACTGCAGATCTAGAACACCGATAGACATTGTAAGTGTTCACAAGATGTAAAATAGGTGCTTGTTTCTACGTATGGCCTGAAAGTAAAGGTAAATTAGACACAGTTTGTATAGTTTGACCTACAGTAATCTCTGAGATGGTTAAACATAGGATGCTGTAGGTTAGATTAGAATACACTAAATATCCCTCAAAACACTAAAGACTTAAATATGTTTTATTTCTAGTACTAGGTTGCAGCTGGAAGGGTATCCGCTGTGTAAAACGTGCTGGAAGAGTTGGTGGTTTATTACGCTGTGGCGACCCCTGATTAATAAAGGGACTAAGCCAAAGGAAAATGAATGAATGAATGAATCTTTTCACTAATGATCACTAGGGCCTGAGTAAGAGAATGACTGCAATTCTTTGTATTCTTTCTTTTGAAATGGCTGATAACCTCAGGTAAGCTCATTGTGTTGGTCTGAGTTTATTAGTGACTAGATTCCCACCTTTTACTCTAAATTTATGACCCGTTACTATGCCTACCATGTGTTTACCTTGGGTTTGCCACTGATAAAAAAGGTGTCATCTTCCTGATTCTGTGAATCTTTAACCTTTGTTTTAGACATCTACATTGATGAGATGAAACAGTGTTACAAAGATTTAGGCTTTAAAAGGTAATGTAAACCTATTCAAGAGAATTTTTTGCCTATGATTTTTTTAAAGTCCATGTGAAATCAAAATTCAGCATGTTTATTTTGCACATAGCACATAGTTTTATTTATTAGGTGAACAATTAATCCGTGCAAGTTAATCCACTGAAAAAAAGGTTGTTTTGGTAATCTTCAGTCAAATCTGAGCATCTCATTTTGTGTTTGGATTGGCTTCTTCTCTGATGATCTCAACTTGACTGCTTCAGCCGCAGTATTTATAACCACTCCCCCTTATCATTAGTTTGCTATGAGGGAATGAAGCACAAAAAGAAAGCCCCACCCCCTACTCAATATTTTGTTTCAGTTTGAAGTACATAAGCATACCAATATAAAAATCTTATAAATTTCCAGTTCACATGGACTTTAAACCTTCAACAACAACAAAAAAGTTAAAGTGCAATCAAGGACCATAATGCTAGCATGTAAAAAATAATATTTCTGATTTCTAAACTCAGATACAATGCCATCAATGTGGTTCCAGCTGCTATGGGGAAGAAAGTACGAGAAATAGCCTCAAAGGTATTTATAACAAGACAATTTTATTGTTGTTGTTTGTAAATTATTATTATATTCATATAAAAAGTAGTGGTTAAATGATTTTAATTTGATGTCCTATGTGTGAATATAGATTTACAATCAACCTATTCAGTGTTATGATGATCCAAATCACTTACATAAAAATGTGCATGTGTTCCTATACTTTTAGATAAATATTTATAAAACAAAAGTCCTGGTTTTATAATTTTTTTGAAGGCAAGTGCTGAAGGAATTCAAGGGAACTTTAGTGGAGATCTTCTGCAGAGTGGAGGCATGCTCATTGTTGCAAAAGGTAAAGATTCAACGTTTTTGACCAAGATGTCATTTTGTTGCGTTTTCATTTTTCTTTCATGGAAAATGTCATGGTTTAAAGAGGACCTCTTATGCAAAAATCTTTTTTTGAAGGGGTTTAGACACAGTTGTGTGGAAACAGTCTGTGAATATAACCAGCTTTTAATGTTGAATATGTATTAATATTTATTTTATATAATCAGACTTGATAAAAACAGCCTGGAGGAACACTTTGATTGACATTCTGCCTTTTCTAAGTGTCATCAGGTGGAATACTTTGGCCATTAGTGACGATCTCTTTCTTATTAGCATAGGACGTATTTGAATTTGCAACCATGCTGACATATAGGCATTTATAGCTCCGCCCTCTTTTGTAAAGAGCCCAATCTCATTTGAATTTAAAGCGACAGTCACCAAAACGACACAATTAGTATCAAAGCCCAAAAGGGGCAGTTTCAAAGAGTTAAACATTATTTGTGTGTCATTTTGAGCTGAAACTTCACATACACACTCTAGGGATTTCAGAGACTTTTTCTTGTTAAAAGATGTATAATATGTCTCCTTTAAGCTAGAGATGCAACATTTAGAAAAAAAAATTCAGTGATGTATATTGCGAAATTTCACCAGATAAAATAAATAGCTCTATTCAGAAATAATTAATAGTTTTAGATTAATTGTTTTGATTTTGTAGGAGAGTGCATATGCGTAAAATATAATAAACTAATTATAAGCATTGAACACAGTAGAGCAAAGATGCACATTTCTGGGAGTCTGGCGATTTATATCTTCATCGTGTATATTTACATAAATACAATTAATCTTTATCTTATAAACGTTATAATTGCTTGTGTCTAAATGCTTTAAACTTTCTTGAAATGCTCACACAGTCAAAGTTTTTAGTAACTTAGTTTAAATTTTGTAAGGAAAGGGAATTATTTATATAGCACATTTCATACACAGTGGCAATTCAAAGTTATTTACATAATCGCGTATAAGAAAATAAAAACAAATAATAAAAGTGATTAAAAACAGATTAAAATGTGTTAAAAACAGGTTATAAAATAATGAAAAAGAAAAGAAAGGCATAAGTTAGTGACTCCACAATTCTTGTATGTCTTGATCTGTAGCCCATGGTCAAATATAATCCTGTCTTGACATTGCAGATCCTGTGATATGACTATTGCTGATACACAAATTGCGATATTAATTCTGAAATAATATATTGTGCAGCCTTAGTTCAAGCTTGTGGTCATTCAATTTAATTCAAGATTGTTTGTATATCGCTTTTATAATAGTTATCATTCTATAGCAGGTTTACAACAGGTGAACATTTATTACATTAATCCAAATCAGATATGTTAAAGTGTTTTTGTGTATAGTGTGGGCTGATAATAAACATAGTTAACCTGCAGTTATACACTACTATTTGGTGCATTTAAACAAAACAGTTTTATTAATCCGTTTTATCCATTAAAATAAGCGTTTAGTCTCCAAACATCTTTAGACATATAAAGATAATACATTTAAATCCAAATGAGTTATTAAAACAAATGACAAACTTCAAAATTTCAAGTAAATTTGACTTTTTTATGTTACTCTTGATTTTTTTTTCCTGTTTATTAATGTTATTAAATATTTTCCCCAAAAATTATTTTAGTTTTTCTTGTCAGATTAGTTCCAGTTTTGCCTTTAGTACTGCCTAATCTAAAGTACATGCAAAAATATATTATTGTAAAGCATCCAATTGAAAAAAACAATTTTCTTTAAAATAACTTAAAAATATATATATTTAAAAGAGAATTCAGTGAGGGGTGAACTCCTATATGCTGAGCTCTGTATATCGTATCCTTTCCTAAAAGATGATGTCTGTGTATACTACATTATGTAGTCACATTAGATTTGTATGATTGTTTTTTTAATGTTGAGGATGTCATTGGATCTATGCAATCTATATTGTTGTCACTAGAGGGCAGCATGACTTCACGTTAACAAATCTAATACATGCAAATCTGTTCTCTGCTCAACTGTAAGAATTAAGAATTAATCGGATGAATTCTGCCAGTAGCACAGAGTAACATTTTAGAACAACAACACATTGATGTTTGTGGATTTGCTGAGTATGTTCTGTTTCTGAACAACACTAATTTAGCAATATAAGTACTTCACCATAGAGTTTTATTGGTAATTTCATGCACATAACTGCAAAGTCATGATAATAAAACTTATTTTAGAATCATTAATTTTTTTATGGAGTTTGAGATTATTTTCAAGAAATGTTCTGCTTAATTCTCATTACTTGAATGCAGCCAAGTTTGTTTACAATTCTCATTTATTTCATTATGAATCTCATTCAATTCTCATTACTTAGACACAAAAATAAGAACATTTATGTGCGGGCACAATTACGGTTTTTTAATAAAAATCTAAATTAAATCTAAAGTAAATTCCTAAAGTACTACTTAAATACAAATATGAGTTTTTTTTCTGCCCTAAAATAAAAACATGAAAGGGATAGTTCACACAAAAATGAAAATATCCTATTTGCCTCTCCTTAACTGGTTTCAAACCTTAATAAAATTATTTGTCTGAACACAAAATATATATTTTGAAGAAAGCTGAAAACCTGTAACCATTGACTTTCATAGTTGGAAAAACAAATACAACGGAAGTCAATGGTTACAGGTTTCCAACATTCTTCAAAATATCTTTTTTTTTAACAAAAGAAAGTCAAACAGGTTTGGAACAAATGAAGGGTGATGTAAATGATTTTTTTGGTGAACTATCCCTTTGTGTTTTAAATGCCATATAGCAGGGGTAGGGAACCTATGGCTCGGGAGCCACATGTGGCTCTTGGACCAAAAATATGTGGCTCTCCAGCTGTCTCCCTTCAATACAAAAATAAGCATGTCACTAAAAATCAGTGTCCTATTGAAAATACAAGTATTATTACCTTTTTATTGTATATTTTATACAGCAAAATTAATAAGAATAAAAGGACGTTTCAACCAATACGCATGAGCGGTGTTGTGGATTAACTTGAATCGCAACACCAATAAAAGGCATGCAACTTGCATTTCTATTGTAACCTGCGCACGTAAACTCAAACAACATTCATGAGTGTTAATGGTTACATTCTGTAAATTGTCCTTTCTTAATACATGGACTCACTCAACTTGTGATGCTTTATATATATCCACAAAGGTTCTTTATAAAAATACATTTGCCAAAAATCTGAAATGGCACTTTGCTCAAAAAAGGTTCCCGACTCCTGCCATATAGGTAAAAGTCTAGATCGGATACGCGGCCGGCTGGAAGTGCGATATGACATCAATTATAGTAGCATTTTTTTTATGACACTGTATAACAATAATTAATAGTTATACATTTCCCAGAGATGGGTTGCAGCTGGGAGGACATCCGCTGTGTAAAAACTTGCTGGATAAGTTGGCGACCCCGGATTAATAAAGGGACTAAGCCAACAAGAAAATGAATAAATGAATAGATAGCATAAATAATGCTCGGTACAACTACTGTTTTTACATTAATGTGAGGGTTAGGGTGGGGGTAGGGTTGTAATAAAATACAAAAAAGGGACATTTAATAAATGATATAAATAATTCTCGTTAGCTTCCGGCCACAACCATATCCGATCTAGCAACAACCGCCATATAGACAGTATCATAATGCAAAAATGTGTTTCATTCTGTTCAGGTGGAGAGAAAGTTCTGCTGCATTTTATCCAGAAATCGCCTGCAGACAATCCACCTCTGGAGGAAATCACTAAAGCTCTCGGGATCTCTGCGAACGTCCAGGCTGGGGAAAAACCACAGGTAACAGAGGGAAGCATTTGTAAGATAAGACAGGAGTAAGGTCAGATGTTGCATGAAGTTTTTAGTAGGTTTACTAGTCAGGAGTTCTACCTTTTTAAATGTTTATGTGTCATTTGTGGTAATAAAGCAGCACTGCAATAAAAAAATAATGACCAGTGTAACTGGATATAATTGCATTAACAGAGAAATGGATAGTTTACCAACAAATAAAAAACTGCAGGCTATTAACCCTAACACTGTCCTAACTACAACCGATGCAGCTTCACACATTAAAATGTATCTTTTCTATCTTTTTCCATCATGCAATATTTCAATTTTAGAAATATTTCTATTTCTGCATCGTCGCAACAGAACACCAGCATATACTGCTATGACAATGATCACCTCAGGTATAGATTATGTGCTTTATTCAGTGTTAAATGCTTCTCAATGTTAGTTTAAATGTCATTTTACATGACATTTACTGTTATACTACTGAAAGCTTGAAAATATATATAGATTGAAAATATAATAGGTTTGAAAATGAAATCAGTGCCAACCAACATCAGTCATTCAGAAGCCTATTAATAATGTTAAATAGGTTAATTATTTATTAATTAGATTAAAAGCCTTGTGATTTAGTTGGGAGTGCAATGGCTGGTATTTACAGTAAATGTTTGTCATGTTGTGTTTGGTGCAGACAGACAAATTACTTGTTGTTGGATTCTTGTTGCATGTTGTTAGTACACATTGTCAAGTAATTCCAAGCATTTATGAGTTTCTTTATTCTGCTGAAGATATTCTGAAGAGTTTTGTAAAAACCTTTGAGACCCATAGTAGGAAAAACTAATACTATGGAAGTCAGTAGTTACAGATTTTCAACATTTTTCAAAATATCTTCTTTTGTGTTCAACAGTTGTGTGTGACAAGTAAAGGTTGAGTAATTGAAGGCAGATTTTACGTTTACTACTTAATGCATTAATATAGTGTTAAACTTGAATACACTGAATGCTGCTAATGCAGTCAGAATTTACTCTCCCTATTTTAAGTTTCTTATATTTGGACACAATGTTTTTGTGCTAATGTTGGACTTTATGTTCATGTGATCTATTAAATGCCAAGTAAAACGAAGCACAATAACTGACTAGAAAGTTAAAGACTGGTACTATATGACAATAATCATTACTATATTTCGTTTTAATTTTTCATTCATTCATTTTCCTTCGGCTTAGTCTCTGATTTATCAGAGGTCGCCACAGCGGAATGAACCGCCAACTATTCAGGCATATGTTTTACACAGCGGATGCCCTTCTAGCAGCAACCTAGTACTGAGAAACACACTCTGACGTATACTCGTACACCGGCCAATTTAGTTTACTCAGTTCACCTATAGTGCATGCCTTTGGACTGTGGAGGAAACCCACGTCATCATAGGGTGAACATGCAAACTCCACACAGAAACACCAACTAGAGCAGCTGGGAATTGAACAAGCAACCTTCTTGCTTTAAGGTGACAGTGCTAACCATAAATTAATAAAAGTATTTTACTATTTTAAAATGACTCCTAATGTTGCAGATTTTAACCATACTGCCCACCTCTAATAACAGCTGATCGTCTCACAAGGATGCTTTGGTTTTTAAAAAATACTCTAATGTTTCAGTATTGTTCTCATTTTGATGCTTGATATTACATTTCTGGTCAACAAGTAAATGATTTCTCTCCACAAACTGCCTAACATTTCCCTGTATTTTATATGTTTTACTACAAACGCCTCAAGAAAGTGACCACACTATTACATTAATGTGTTTTTGTGGTTTATCGAAATGCTGAATTTTCTTTCCTTCTGTGGCTTTTACTGTTGTAAAGAGTTTTTAGGATTTGGATTGATCCATCAAAGTAAACAAGTACATATTATTCCAAGTTAAAACTAGGACACAAAACACAAGCATGCACTGCAAAATATATCTGTAAACTAGCAGTTTTACATATTTGGTGAAGTTTTTTTTTTATTTCTCCAATTTTTGCTTATGAATTGCATTATGGGACCTTGATCTTTTTTTTAACCTTTAAAAGTCGGAAAACATTCACATTTTTAATAGGTTAAAGTGATATTTTCTGGGTTGGTGTTGAATACTATGCTACAAAAACCTTGTAATAAACGGCCAGTACGTTATCTCTTATTTTACAGACTTATTTATTATCTAGATATTATTTCTTATAGACTTACACATTATATAATTTCAAACTAGGGCTGCACAGCATATCGTCTGAGCATGGATATTGCAATGTGTGTCCCCAGAATCCACAGGTCAAAACACAGGAGATTTGTGGAGACGTTGCAGAATTTAACCATTATAGAGTGGAAATTGATTATCTGCATGTGTTTTTAAGGCCCGTGACCATGTCAGCATTTTAAGAGCGTGCATAAAGCATTTAAGTAGTGTATAAAGAAGTTTAATAAAGATTAATTTTATGTAGTTATTTATATGATGAAGAGTATGCAGTGTTATTTAACATTTGATTATGAAATTTTAGTACCTCTATACCGTTACTCTCCAGAAAACCATAACGCATGGCTTATTTCACTTTTAATATTTGTTCCATTGTTTATTTATGACTGTAGTTTTTTAAAAAATGTATATAATAAACTACATAAAAATATATTTAAATTTCACTCCCTTAAAAAGTCATCCCAATCAATCTGAAGCCATAACTTTGCAAATAGAGCTATTTAAGTCATCTGGTCAAATTCTGTGTGTATAGCAAGAAACTAACTGGCCACTTTATTAGGTACATCTTACTAGCACCTGGTTGGACCCGCTTTTGCCTTCAGAACTGCCTTAATCATTCAGGGCATAGATTCAACAAGGTATACTGGAAATATTCCTCTGAGATTTTGGTCCATATTCATATGATAGCATTACTCAGTAACTGCAGATTTGTCGGCTGCACATCTGTGATGTGAATCTCCCGTTCCACCACATCCCAAAGGTCCTCTATTGAGTTGAGTTCTGGTGACTGTGAGGGCCAATTGAGTACAGTGAACTCATTGTCGTGTTCAATGATTCGCGCTTTGACATGGTGCGTTATCCTGCTAAAAGTAGGCTTCAGAAGATGGGTACACTGTAGTCATAATGGGAAGGACATGGTCAGCAACAATACTCGTGTAGGTTGTGGCATTGACACGATGCTCAATTGGTACTAATGGGCCCAAAGTGTGCCAAGAAAATATCCCCAATACACCATTACACCCCCACCAGCAGCCTGAACCGTTGATACAAGGCAGGATGGATTCATGCTTTCATGTTATTGATAACAAAGTCTGACCCTACCATCTGAATGCCGCAGCAGACTCATCAGACCAGGCAATGTTTTTCCAAACTTCTAGATTGAAATTTGTGTTAACGAGCAGTTTGACTGGTGTACCTAAAAGTGGCTGATGAGTGTATATTGCAGAAAAAAATGCAATGCAATGTCAAATGTTTCCAATATCGTGCATCCCTATGTCAAACTACTAAAAAGACACTGTGTTAAACTGTAGAGTTACATTTTCAACATTAGAAGTCGTCAAAGCAGAGATCAACATCCCATATTGCAATTCACAACCGGAAATAAAAAGAAAACACTTGTGAATCACAAAATACAGGAGTTAAGTTTACAGTGTACCTTGTTTTGTTAAATTCTCTGAAATAATCTTCGTCTGAGGCTTTGAAAATGAGCAGAAAGCTTAATGAAACCCTTGCAGACGTCCACAAGGCGTACTAAAGGATCTGTGTTTTGCTTTAGAATGACCTAAATCATGTCAAGCAGCAAACTTAACAAATAGCTGCTGTATACAGAAAGGCGTGAATCTGTCTGATGTCGGAGCACATACGCTTTTGGCTTATGCAAGTGGCTGTTCAAACAAGCAAAGTGATTGTAGGGTAGAACAGAGTCTTGTTGTGAAACTGATCTTTTGGTTTTTACATGCTCTTAACGGCATTGAGGCCTCATGATGCACCTGGGCGTGAGACTATAACAACGAAACCCACTAAAACCAACAGATGCATTTCCCCGGGCTGCTATTTTTGCTTCTGGTGATTAAAGGGGGTTTTTACGCTGACGTCACGTATGGTCTCTGAAGTGAGGGTTTTATGGTGGTATCCTGGAGGAAATGCCGCTTTTGGCCTCTTTTATTCTTTATCATGTTGAGATGAGATGATATAGGCAAATTTTTTTTCAGATGGTGAACACAGTTTATTGAGTCTATAGAGAGAAAACATTCATTTATAACAGAATCTGAGTTGGTGATTACTTAATTTAATTCATCTTTATTTCTTTAGCTCTTTTACAATGTGGATTGTGTCAAAGCTGCTTAACATACAAGTTCTAGTAAATGTACACATTGTCGGTGCAGTTTTCAGAGTTGAAGTTCATTTCAGTGTGGTTTCATTTTCACTGCTGACAGTCCAAACACTGAAGAGCAAATCCATCACTGCGCAGCTCTACAAGTCCCAAACCAAGCAAGCCAGTGGCGACTGTGTAGAGGAACAAACTTCACCAATTGACAAAAGTGAAAGAAAAAAACCCTCGAGAGAAACCAGGCTCAGTTGGGAACGACCATTTCTACTCTGACCAAACGTCTTGTGCAGAGCTGCAGTCTAGTTGCTGGAGAAAGCTGGATGTTCATTGTGGAGAAGCTGCAGGTGTAAGTAGGTCACCAGCAGGTGTTCAGGCTGGCCCACGAGATTAATGCGGAGACTCGTCTGTTACTGGTGTCTTACAGGACACTTTGAGTCTCATGCTCTCCACTCCTCTTTGACCATCTTTTTAGGATACAGCCTGGTCCAGGATCATGGATACCTTGGCATCATTTTTTTTAAAGGTTTTGGATTGCTTCAATGGTGTGCTGCATAATCTCTGGAAGCTCGGGATGAGTATCCCCAGGTGTAAATAAAGAATAAAGGAAATAATAGCTGCATAGCGTAGTAGATTATTCAAGTAATCCTGTATGTCTGGATGTATTATTAGGTGTGGGTTT